CATGCAGTGCGGACGCCCAGACAGCACGGGGAACCACTATAATACCAGGAGAGGCATGGACACAACGAGGCACGTCCCCAGTTCTTAACGCGAACTGCTGCCAGCCTGAACCGAAATAGAATCAACGGAAGAAGCATGGACGGAGACCGGCGCGGGTGTGTGAATAGCCATAGGCGAGGCATACAGTTACTGACGACAAATATGCCCAAACTGACACAAACATTCACACTGGCGCACACTCAAGGGCCTGCTGTTCGTGTTGATGGCGTCCTCGTTACTCTGTCGTACGATTTTGGTATCTTGACATCCTCTCTTCCGGTTTATTATGATACCATGGTACATGCACACATACCTGGCCCCTCTTGCCCATGATGATTGCGGTGCCGGTGTCCTGACATCCCGGCAGCACCATCCCCGCAGCGATGTTGGCATTCTTCAACAACTCCAGGGCAACAAAGCGGTCGTTCTCTGAAGCCTAAGTAAGGCAAAAATATCAAGGGAGTTCAAATCGATGAAGCGTACAGCGGGGGGGGTTATCATGTTTTGCACCCCTGTAGTTGTTAGACCATTGATTACGCGTCCTCGAGAGGGCGGAGCAGTGTTCACACAGTACAGAACCGTAGAGTGGGGGGTAAATTTCCGTTGCTGCTCGCCTTATTGGTATTGCCACTGACCACGCATCTCCATCGACATGAAGCACGGGGGAAAAAAAATTGTGTCAAGCGGTGGGGTAATTGCCTCTGCAGAGGCACGTCACGACTGCAATCGATGGAACTGTTTTACAGGCACGAGGTGGGTTCATCAGCATAGTACAGTGGTCGTGTCATCAAGGCGTGACGCAAGATGAACGCAATGCATGTATTGGTGTGGATCAACTGCCAGCAACTGTCATCAGTTAAGTCTCCCAAGCTCGAGCAGCTCACCCAGCTGGCGGTTTTGACTCGAATAGCCCAGCGAACCATAACGAGCCAAAATAAAAACTTACAAATCTGTGCACAGCCTAAACTTCTTCTCGCATGCGGTCGCGTTGGGACCATAGCCCACACCGTAGCCCACACCGCCGCATTGTACGTGAACTAGTATAGCATGGTCGGAGAGGACGTTGCTGTGCGTTGCCGAGCCAAACGCAGCTGAAAAAATTGGAATTCGCACACGTACGCACATCGCTCTGCATGCCTACCGAAAGACGTGGAACCGCGCAGGACAAACGTGCCGGGCGGCCGTCGAACACATCGAGAGCCACGGTATCGGGCCTCGACCACAGCAGCACATGCACTAGCGTACGCCTCACCAACGCGTGTTCTCCTCCTCCCTTCCCTAACACACCTTGGAAAGTTGTGTAGTGGCCGGAGGTATTGTTGTTGTACACGTTTAGGGGCAAAACCTCCAACCGTCGCCTCCTCACGGCAAGAGATAACACGTTGTTGTAGGAGAGATGCGCAGCAGGAGCTTGGACCAAAATTGACAGGTGGGCTTCTAGATTGCATTTCTACGCTGCCGCCGCACGATCTTCCAATGCATTGGACAGCAGTTCCCGCGTTTGGTGCTTGTACGTTGCCGGCATAGGTCAGCCCCAACGTAAAACCTATTGCAACCGATCCCAACCTGATCTCGGCCGAATATTGGTGTGTCATCACCTCGGGGTCTTCCAATATATTGGCCAGCTGCCGTAAGTGGTTGGATCGGAGGAGATGAGCGATATCGACCATTGCCGTGGAGCAGAGCAACCTCAGGGCCTCCGGTGCCACCTGAACGCAGTGGAAAGGAGTGCATAAGAACATGCCGAGGGACAAGCTGGTCACACACAAGACTGCTGCACGTATCAAAGAGGCACAGCAATCACACCACATCCGTCATTCGTTCGAGAAAAACGACTACTGCGCTGTTCGTGACTGCCCTACACGAAAAGCACTCTTCATGTAGAAGGGGAAGAACAGCCTCTTTGGCCAATGTCGAAACAACCCGGCAAGCATCTCGATTCCTCCAAGTGAAGCTGTCGCCGGCGCGCGCGCATCCGAAAAATGCCACCCTACCTTGAGGAACTCTTGCCCGTCGGGACCTTGGACGACGCGTACGCCTTCCGAAGACAACTTTCGATACTGTGAACGGGGGCATGCCGACAGGGGGAGGGAGGGGATGGTCACTTGACGATGCTGTGCGGATGCTGTTCCACTTGGTCTACTCGGCTGGAGGAGTCAGCGCAGTGTAGCCATACCGACAGACTCGAATCTGCAGTGAAATCAAACGGGATTGTAGACCGCCAGAGCCGTGATTGGCGAAGCTTTGCAGGTGGATTCCGTCAATCCGCTCCACCCACACTATCTTTCGCTCACTGCCCCAAGGTATGTAGGTGCGAGTGTTGTGTTTGTAATAGGACAGCTGGCAAACTGGGCCAGCAAGCCCACTGAGTCAAATTTCAGTGTGTCACGTGTATTCAACTATGTAGACTTTTCGTTGTCTTGAATCTGGAGGGTAAACAACCCTCTTCGGGCTTCCATTGCACCACTGGCACAAACTTGGCAGCACTAAAGTAATGATTGACGGTCATCGGCGGCAGCATCAGCTGGTTTGCACCACGGGTCACTGAAACTTCGGGTAAACGGCGGGTTCATGTCCCAACTGCCGGTGTGGCGCAGCTTTTCAAGTGTCCTCAAATGTCCAACCTGAGTCGAGCCCGGAGAGCGACGGGCTGGAAAGCTAAAGCTGCAATGCTCATACCTCGGTCGGTTCATCTCTAGGAGTAGCCCCGTACTGAAAGAGGGGCTTATACTCGAACTCTGCGGTAGTCCCGAAAGGGCGCCTCTGCTGCTGCTGCCGCTGCTGCTGCGGCGCAAACGTTCTTGAACACTCAGCCGCAGGAACTCGCAGCGAGGCTGCGGAGTACGGTGCAACCGCTGCAGCTGCTCTTCTACGCCCTATCACTGGAGAACGAGCGAGCAAGCTGGTTCCCAGTCCACGCTTCAAGTGCAACGAACCCATCTCTCGGTTGTTGCTGTGTGCTGGTCCAGGAGTGTCCAGGACAATGTTGAGAGAAGCGGTACGACCATGTGGTTCTGGGCGAGTTCCAGGTTACCATTCGGACAGCGCGTAACCGCTTTTTTTTTTTCCCGTTCTCTCCTACTATCGCTGTCTCTGTTATTCTCCAGCCCGTGACAAGCGCAGGTGTGTTGACGTGCACGCAGGAAGGGTGCCAGGGAGGGGGAGACGCGGCAGCCTATAGCTTCTTGGGTAAGCGAATGTCAATGCCATTGCATCTAGTAAGCTGGGTCGAGTCGCTGCAGGCGGTTCAACGAGCAACCAGACCCTTGATATCTTGGCGGCGCATATACTGCTGTAGTGCCTTCCCGGGTGTCCCGGAGTCCGACCATAAAGATCGTGCCAATGAGATCAATCATGATGTGTAGTTTGTATCGTTCAGCTCTCTCACACGCACTCATGATGCAGTGCCCGGGAAAAAATCCATGATGAAGTTGTGAGATTCGTCTTACAGCTTACGCAGTCAATCACTGCTGTAAACAGCAGTGGTTTGGCCAGGTTAGCTTCCGGTAGGGATGTTGCGTCTGCTGTTGTGCGTCACTTCGAGATACCTCTGACTGCTTCCAGTGCGAGTCTTGAACTCTACGAGTAGGGCTTGAAGACTCAGTAAGGTTGCGTACGCTGTTTCTTTCAGACCAGGGCTTGCCTGGTTCCCTCTGTTCTCCGGAGATCAGACCACATGTTGTTCCGCATCAGCATGGACATGGCTATATAGACTATTTCTACCGCTACAATAGAGACCTTGGATATCAGGGTTACACTGGACCTCCGAGAATGCTACCCCTAGGCCTCACCTTCTCTACAGCTGTTTCTCTCGAAAGAGAGTCCGAATGCATGTATTTTACGGAGTCTATCCCACAGCGATGCCTGCTGATGACGCAACGAGTTGATTTATCATAATAGTTGCTGTCATTGTCACTGCTGCCAATCGGGTGTCACGGCTTGGCTTTTATGCATGCTGCACCACATACTTTACTCCTATGTTAACCAAGGAGAGAACTATGACCAATTTAATTCAAGATCTTCCCGACAGACGTTAGGCTTCAGGCGCTAAAGAGTCGAGCTCCGGATAGGACTCACCCCACACCCCCACCTGGAGTTGATCTCGATCTCTTCCGAAAGTGGGCCTTAGACCCCGCTGCCCCCCTGATGGTTGCCATGTCATATGCCCTTCAGCAACTTCATCGTTGCTCTACACCTACTATGTTACCCTAGAGCGTACTGAAGTGATCTTTAGAAAGAGTTGGTCAAGGTTACGAACATATTAGTAGCGTTCACGTCGTCATCTGCAGCAGGTATGAGAGGGTGCCGTACAAGGCTGAGTAATAGGCAGTGTGGAGCATGCTATAGGTCTGAAACTCGACCGAGTTGGGTCTCCCGGGATTTTCGACTCTTCCTCCCCGCTTCGTTTTGCCCTTCACTCGCCGCCGACACAACAATGTTTGGAGCGTGCGTGCCCTTATTTGTTCCCGGGCTATTTTTGGTAATTTCGAGGATTCTTGAACAACTCGGAGATTCTCGCTGCATTTAGATGAACCTCCATCATATTGATTTTGGCTTCGTTGGACCAGCCTTAACTGTTTTACCTTGCTTCCTACACAACACATGTGAGTACCATCAATTAACGGGAAACAAATCCCCCCTTCGGTGTGCGAACGAACCAAACAAAGGATCCCAAGTGCTTCTTGCCGCGTCTCGGCCGGTCGTGGGGTCGCGCGCGGAGGGACATCATCCTGGCTGTCGTTCCGTTCCCGCCGCATTGCCGGTGCGCCATGAAAATTGCACTCCGGCGCTAAAGGAGACTTCAACGTCAAAGCGCCAGCGCCGCCATCCCACTTCGACTTACGAAAAGAAAATCACCACGTGCACGGGGATCTGTCAGGCCGGACGCTCGAGGGGCCAGTTCGAAGCTACCCTTGTGCCCGGAGAATAACCCTTGGGGGGTGGAACCTTTGTCGCACAGAATGGCAACATCGAGGAAGCCTGTTTTTTCAAATACGAAGAAGAGCACGCCGGTCGATGACACCGGCGGCATGCCTGGCGGGGGTGCTGGTCTCCACGAGATGGCGCCAAGGAACGTCGTTGCAGATCGCTCCGGATCAAGCGGTGCCCGAAAACATGGTCAGAAAGGAAAGGACGAACTATTTTCATTCGACAAACAAAACTTGGATATGTTCTCGCTTATGGCGGGGGCAGTGGCCGGAGGCGGGGGACGAGGAATACGTGGTCTCCCAGGCTCACGGAAGGCTAGACCTCCAAAGCCATTGCATCCAGCATCGAGCGATCCGGCAGCTCCCAAAGGTACGGAAGGCGCGACCACACCCGTTGCCGGAAGCCTGAGCAAGATTTTCTCCCCCCAGCCGGCTCAAGCCGCCATCGCAGAGTCTCTGAGTGTCAACAACGCCACAGGTATGCTCCTAGGGAGTGATATACAGGTTTGTTGCGATCAAGTCTCCAGTTCCTGCGTTCTTTTCAGGGTGTCAACATTTTTCTCACCGAGGCTCACGTCAAATCGCAACCAACACACACAGAAATGCTGAACACAGCACGGTTTAGTACCTATTTGGTTGCTGCACGAAATCCCGCCGATGGATTCGTAGCCGTGTGGCAAGTGGTGTTTGTTCTTCTACGATTCTAAAAGGTACATAATTTGGAGGTGTCTGCGCGTTGAATTAAATCTTGAAATAGGCGGGCAAGAGCACGACGATGACGGCGCTGGCGAGAATGAAGGGGCCGTCACCGGTGGCCCCATCGCCGGCCGACCGACCCAGCCGGCGTTCGTCGTCAGCGGCCTAGCTGCCGTGATCAAGGATGTGCTAGCGCATCCCGGAGGGAAGGCATCCGGAGAATCGGCGGCGTTCGTGAGGGTTCTTGCGCAGATGTCGGCCGATGCTGTCAAGTCCCCGGGCTCCGCAGGCGACCACAACGTTGGCGGTGGCGGTGAAGCAGCTGGAGGGGACGGCTCAGGAGCGGATGGGGCAAGCGCCGACCATGGAGGTGCCGGTGTCGCAGCCATCGACGACGCTGAGACCTTTCACCTAAAGACGGTGCGAGATATTGCAGTGGAGTGGGTGGCGGCGGGGTGCTTTGTTTTTCGGAGCCATTCAACTAGAACCGTTGCGTAGAAAGCATCCTAGAAGCACAAGCTGTTCGTGTCTGCTAACGCCAATCCCTTCCCTGGCAGGGAGATGACGCAATCAACTTCTTTGCCCAATACGGAGAAAATTCTCCGATCAAGTTCGTACATCTGGTAAGGGCCAACAAGGGCCACGACTTCCCCCCATACGATCTCGTCGTGGTAAACCCGCGCGAGTGCTCGGGCGACTATTACTTGATGAGCTCGGCCGGGTTGGTGCACGTATGCCACGGGGAGCCTAGCGAGTTCACTCCCTTGTCGGAGTGGATGAGACAGAGCACGATGTTCAACATGCTGCAGTCCATCCGCTTCTTCAAGTGCTACCTGCACTCCAAATGCTTCAAGCTGTGGAGGGACAATGTGCGGTACAAGCTCTTCTGCCAGCAGAGAAGGAAGCTGTCTCACCGCCTCTTTCTCGCCAAGGACAGCTTCGCCGGACCTTACGTTGAGCTGAGGCGGCACATGATCGACTTGCAGGTAAAACCCTAGAACACGAAGGCAAGTCAGTATTGATCTCTATGTATCTTGCCTGGGGGAGGAGGTGGCGGAGATATTCACCATCTCGCCGAAAACCAAATACCCAAACAACCAACGCCCCAGGGGCAGCGTTGTCCATATCACCACTCCAAGGACAAGTCTAGGCCAGCAACCTAAGACTTTGGAATATCATATTCACATCCCTCAGATGCCGCTCGGCCGAAAATGTGCAGCACGTGAAGCGGTATGAGCAGCGGCAGAATCAAACTGTACCAGGGGTCGTCTATGTCCATGATTTGCTACCCTGGCGCACACGTGTTCTGACAAAAACCTCTCGCCATCAACCAGGACATTGCGCTCCTAGACCTAGACGCGATGAAGACGTTCGAGCGGGCGCAGTTCATCGAGCACCAGAACGCCCGGAGAGTCGAAGCAGCGAAGGCGTTGGAATCGAGCATGGAAAAGGTGAGACGCTGACGTCCACGGGCAAGCGAATGCGACCACATCTAGGGATTGCGTTAATCTGATAGTTCTTGCAGGTTTTTCTTTCTTGGCTGGCACTACGTGTCGACATGGGGTATTTCAGACCTTGCGAAAGAACCTCTTCCTTCCGAAGCGTGCGGCCGAACCGACTGCCAACTCCCCGACGACCCAGGTCGGTGCGGTGGTGCAAAGGGTGTGCGCCCACGTGACGGGCCTTCCAAAAGCGGCGGAAGTGTCGGAGAGTCCACTGGACAAGATGTTCGGCGGCGTGGGGGACAAGGGAAAGAGCCTGGTCGCTATGAAGGAGGAGGCGGCCGAGAGGAGACGGATGCTGCAGAGAGCGGCGGATGAGGCCGGTGAATATTATTGTCTGTAAATGCACTCCTGATATTCGGTGTATGGATGTCCGTGTTGGTCAATGTTGTATTTCAACGGGGTAGGCCTCTTTTGGGGTGCTTCTCTTCTTCCTTCACGGCCCTCAAAGTCCCCAACCACCCCCTCGTGCCCCCCCCCACCCCGGTGTTTGCCATCGGGGTTGGGTTTTCGTCGCTCGGCAACGACGTTGCAAAACAAGCCGCCCCCCTCGGTGTTTGCCATCGGGATTGGGTTTTCGTCGCTTAGCAATGACGTTGTAAAACAAGCCAATTCACTTCGTGAACTCGGCAACCAAGTTACCGTTTTTTTTTTTTCCTACGTTTTTTTTTTGGCGGTAGCCATAATGGTGGTCGAGTAGATCGTGTTGTGCGGGGTGGAGGACCCTCACTCCGCGGAAGGGAGATGATCGCACCACGTTGTGTTAAAATGGTCAAGCACCCTCGAGGCAGTTACACAGTGCTTACTACTGTCTCAGGAAGTGAAAGCACCAGAAAATAAATGAAGCCATACGCAGCTGTCATCCGTACGCAAGGAAGTAAGCACAAGATGCCGAACACCCTTAGCAGGATGCAGCGCACCCTTCATGCGGCTCGCCGAATATCTCACGGCGCTTCGCGCTTGGTGATGTGAGAGCCTGGTCCGGTGAGAACCCGGCGTGCTCCGTCCCGGCTTTGTAGGGATGCGAGGTCAATGGTCTAACGACTACGGCATGCACGACTATGAGTACACCCCCCCCCCCCCGGTGTTTGCCTATCGGGATTGGGTTTTCGTCGCTTGGCAACGACGTTGTCAAACAAGCCAATTCACTTCGTGAACTCGGCAACCAAGTTACCGTTTTTTTTTTTTCCTACCGTTTATTTTTTTT